GTATCTGTATCTGTATCTGTATCTGTATCTGTATCTGTATCTGTATCTGTATCAAATACTGAATCAAGTACAATTGGCACGCGTCTATTTGTTAAGTGAAATGTACTTAAATGAAATGCAATTAAAAAATTGTTTTCCCAACTTAGTTATACAACACAAACATTAAAATGGAATTGCAATTTGAATGCCTCGCACGATACAGCGTCAGCAGCTAACTAATTAGGCGGCCGGATGATTTGTGGACTGCCTACTGTATTGTAAAATTAACCCACATATCTAGCGCTGTTGCCGGAAAAAATGGAAACAATTATTTACAACCAACGGGCAACGAGCAAAGCGCAACCGTAGCAAATGGCATAAAAAATCCTGCTGCATAAAATTAAATGTGCTAAGATATGCGGTGGACAGAGGAAACCGAAACGCTGATGAATCCGTTGTTATGGATCGCATCAAGTGCTGCTCATGGAATGCCGTTGAGTAAAACTTACTCGTAAAGCAAATGTTTCAACTTTTAAGTAGTGTCGAGTGCGTGAGGCACGCGTAATTGACGGAACTCGCGCTTAAGGTTGGGCACCAGGCAAAAGGAAGTCGTTTAATTACATAAATGCTCCAATAATTAGTAAACAGCGTCTGGCCAGTTGAGTTAAAAGTAATTGCAAGAAATACCTCATTTATTGTAAATTGGCCATGTCATTTGCAATTAGCAAACAAATAAGGATTTAGCTTAGTTTAAGCTATTCTGAGAACTTGTATAGTGTTTTTCCTGATCAGTTAACTTTGGAGCGCGAGCAGCATGTTAATAAATATGCAGAAGAGTAATATTTAAAGTTGATTAATGAAATATAGATAACAGTCGAAGCAAATATATTTTACTTCTCCAATCAATATAAAATACTTTTGCCTAAATATTTAAATATTCAACTACCCTGCCCTGCCTTTGCTTTCTCAAACATCTCGAAGAAAATTAATTTTCCCAGCGAAGACGATTCGATCAATAATGAATCAATCATTATATAGGTGATAGGTGGTTTTCGATTTTGTTTTGTCATTTTACAAGTTGTCATCGAGTCGATAAAAATCAATTTAATTGCTCTCACAATATTTAAATTTAAATAACGACAAATCCGTTCGTCGATTTCGTCTCTCATGACAGTTTCTCATTATGGCCCCATAATAAACAGCAAATAAACGTCTAGAAAAAATTACGAAATCGACAAAATAGCTTGAAACTGCAAATGTGGCTACAATTTATGTAGCCACAACACGTGAATCCATTGATTAAATTAGATGTATTCATTTGCCAAGCCCTGCAGAGCCGCAAGCAAAACCCAAAGAAATGGCATATAAAAAATATTTATGAGCGCCTCGTTTTTTTTTTTTTTTTTTGTTTGTGGCATTTTAATGCATAACCCAAGCCAAACAGCCAACTGTCAAATCAATAGGCCAAAAAACACAAACAGTCAACAGCTTTGCGACCGTCTAGCTCACTCTTTGACTAACTGGCTGTCTGCCTGACTGACAAGCGAGCTCCATTGGGGAACATAATCAACTGGCAGCTCGCAGTAACAATTTCCAGGCAACGAGCGATATTAAATTGGGTTGCGTACGTAGCCAACAAACTGTGGCCAATACAAATGACAACGTTATCAACGACAGTTAGTAAAACAAAAAGAAAACAAAAGTATGGGCAGGCTACTCGATTGGTATATACCCTGTAGATAGAGTAACAGTAGATGGGAATTGGTTTATAATATTTTGTTTGGTATTTTTCATAATTATAATATATTAAACTATATTTTAGCTGAGTTTATCAGAGTTGAAGCTAACAAAATTAATAATCATTATATTTACTTCCTATTTTTTCATATTTCATATTATTAATACAAATAAATTTATTAAACTCATTTCCCATCTCCCATTCATACCATTCGTAGTTCAATCCGATTATACAAATGGTTTATCACGTCCCACACTCTAAGCTTAACTGCAGGGAATAACAATGATGCCAATAAGCCAAGTAAGTTACGTTTGCTGCAGCAACTACGGCCCATCTGTGCGACAGTTAGCCAGTTGGCCAAATAGTTGGCCAAGCCTGCCAGCGAACAGGTAACATTTCGCATGTTGTGGCTGCCGTTGCAGTTGTTGTTATTGAGCAAATTTGACTTTAACAACGGGTTGAAACTGTTGGCGTTGCACTTGTCGCGATTGAGCATCAGTTTGTCGTCTGTCGCATCGTGTTGCCTACTTTTTAACGTCTTGTACTTTCGATTTGTTAATTGTTAAACAAATTTCAAATGAAGCAACATTTTCAGTGCATGCAAATCGAATGCATGCGTTTCGGTTGCTCAGCTCTTTTAGTTTTTGGGCCGCTTAACAAGCTGCAGTAATCGTGGATTTATGTTGTAGCCGCTGTTGCACATCCCACATATATAATATATGTACAGCTCATAACAACAAACAAACAGGCCAACTGGCTTAAGCCAACTTGTTCGGCTGGTAGACCGCATTCTGCGATGCATATGTCTCGCTCTGTGTGCCTTGCCAATCGCTCGTTATTGCCAAATAATTTGAATTATTAATTATAAAGTGATTGGATTATTTAAAGAATTTGAGCATATGATGCAACACACACACACATAGAGACAGCCAACATTTCATGAGGGCGTCTAATACACAAAGCCTTAGTATAGATATTGTGGCTTATGGGCAAGAGGTTATGAGTTTTTAAATTGAGAAAAGACGGCTCACATAACTTATGGATATTTCTCTATAAATATATATACCTATTTATATTATTATTTATGTATATATATGAAAGTAAATAATCTGATAAATAAAGGAATATTTATAATTAATTTGGATGTATTTATACTATATCAACTTTGGTATCTGTATATTATATATATATACAAGGAATTTAATCATTTATCTCCTGCTTAGTTCATTAAATGCATATATTATGTGTCTCAATATGTACCATAGTATAAAGTATTGAGTAGTCATAGTACTTACTCATGGAATCAGTTTGAGACATTCCCGATGGACAATCGCCGTCCACTACCAAAGCCTCATTATCGGAATCGTTGGCCGATTGTGACTGTTTCTGTTGTTGTTGGCTTCGCACACGCGTCGCACCGGGCACATAAGTCTCTTGGCCGAGTATTTGGTTGTTGGTATCTGTGCCGCCGCTGGATGTGGATGAAGGCCTGCCCATGTCAGCGCTGCTATCTTCCTCCTGCTTAATGCGCTTGGCAGCTGGGCTGCATTGTGCGCCATCAGCTTCGTCTGCTGGAATCGTAGTGCCGCCCATATTAGCATCCTAAAGCAAATACAATAAAAATGTGTTTAATTTTGAGTGTAACAATAAAAACGATTAGCATTTTTATGAGCAACGGAAATAAGATACCAACGAATATCGTTGCTTTATCTATACGTTTCGTTGCGGTCCACCCTAACTAACCGATCTACAAAATGTTTCATTTATAATTTATGCCACTACCCGTTGTTGTTGTTCTCCTTCTCATTCCTCTCATTCTTCGTGTTCTCGTTTCAGTTTGTGTGGCATTAAAATAATTCATGCCAAACCGAGACTTGAGTTATTGCTTTAGATTCTAGGGCCGGTCAGCTCCAAAGTAGGACGCCTTAACAGCCATGCTTCAGGAACTGGGCACTGGGGTAGCAGTCAAGTAATTTGCATAGAATTTGTAAAGATTTCGACGGCCATTACGTAGATAGGCAGCACAGTAGCTGATTTTAATTCAAGGAGGATTAAAGTTGTTTGAAGGTAACTACATAATATAATTGGACTCTGCCTTCGCAGTTCGCTTTCTATTTTATAGAATTGTGGACTAAGGGTCTTTCACAAGTATATTCAATCCTCTAATAAAATAGTTACAGTTAGAGTGCCTAAACGTATAAAGCAATCTCTAAGTATTTATTTTCCACGTGGCTTCCTAAATAGGTCGACGACATTTAATGACAGCCCACTTAAACCAATGGAGCATGTACTAGTGCCTGCTTAGCAAAGTAAATGTCAGACCCAAATACCGTTGCAAACTTAATAAACAATCAGACACAAATGTGCTGCAATCTGTTTCAAATGATTCGCTTGGCTTTACTCTATGTCTCAATGATACCTAACCTCAGACTTGAGCATTTTCAATACTAGAAACTGAAACTTGAACTTCCCCATTGACAGCGCAGCCTGAAGTTGCTGCAGTTGCAGAAGAACGACGAAGCAGAAGAAAAAGATGGCTGCGTGCCATTAAACGTGCTTACATGCCGACTCTATGCGCTATGGTGGTATATGAACTTGAGTGCACGCCGCTGCCCCTGCCTCCGCCGATGTAGCCATCACCCACAGCAAGACTTAAGGTAGGAGAGCTACGAGTAGAACTAACCAAAAACGGAGAGAGAAATGAAAAGACAAAGAGGCAACAGACCATAATCAGTGTTCCATTGAACGCACAAAATCATTTAGCGAAACCAAAACGAAAAGAGTCGAACAGCACCCCACAAGCCCACCGAAGCCCACCAGAGCCCACAAGGCAGCAAGGCACAAGGCACTTGAAACTGTTTTTCAAGACTCCGAAGACAGCCAGAGCCAAGTTGGTTAAAGCAAAGTGTTTGCTTTATATGTATATATGGTCGTAGGGAACACAACACTTGGATGAATGAATATAGGCAGAAGCAGCAACAGCAGCAACAACAACAGATCCACTACGTATATGCCCAAAGCTGGCAGCAAGTTCAAAGCACGCTACGTAACAGACCAAGACAAGCTCAACGATGAGTTGAGTCTTGTAGCAAATTGAATTGTCGTTGTTGCTGCTGTTGCTGCTGTTGTTGGTTTTGTTGTTGCATGAATCACGTGACCATGACCACCATGCAGTGCCCAAGTAAGAACAACAAAAGAGCCAGACTTAAAGCTGTCTCACTTAACCCCTTCCATTCCATCACAGCCACAGCTAGCTGTATATGGCCGAGACGCAATTTGAACTTCACTTAAAAGATCATTTACTTTCATTGAGACTGGAAAACTTGTCGCTGCGTGTAACAAGTGTAAATTTGGTCTAATAACTGGCCATTAGCAGCAAACTTGGATCATGCGTAAAGGAACAATTGAAGTGCACGATCTCTGCTTTAGATCGAAAAGAAAGTCTGGCCTTCGAGCGGAAGTCGCTCTCGCTTTACGCATGTCGATCTGCATAGCTTTTATTTTTTTTTTTTTCACTTACTACAAATTTTGGGTTTTAATTAAGCAATTAGCGGTTATTCTCTTTTGGTGTGTTTACTCACCTTATTTGGCTTGCGTCGTTTACGTTCATTTACAGCTGCAGCTGCCGCTGTTGTTGTTGCTGTTGGGATGGGTGAGGAGGTGGAGGGTGTCTCTTCTTTCACCTGCAGCTTCACTTCTTGGCGATCTGTGTTGAGCAAATAGGCAATTGAAACATTTTAATATAGATTTATGCAATGAATAAACATTTGAACATTGGTATTAATTCATATTAACTGATTTATTCAAAATAATTGAATTTTAATCAAGCCACGCACTACTTACATTTCATTTCGATTTCCTCATCATCCAAAAGCAACGAGACGACTTCTTTGGGCTTGAGAGTGTCGGGTTTGAAATTGCCGCCACTTATAACCATGCGTTGTATCTGAAAATAAACAAATATAATTATATAGAAATAATATGCATAAGTATGCCGAAAATATAAAGAGAGCAGCGCCCCAGGAAATGAAATGAAACACGTAAAAATTGAGTAGCGCCTGGGACGGCGCTGAGACTTACTTAGCTTCCGTTCTGGCGGCCTAAGCACTTTAATATGATAATCAGGAGCGGAGCAATTAAACTAATAAATGCAGAGCTCAAGAAAAGAATAGAGAGAAATGAAGAAAAACATACCCTGAATGGGTTGGTTCTATAGAGAATTTAAAGGCGTAACCGAAATGTCGCCTAACCAATTGTATAATTAATTTCCGGTATCGGCTTACCCGAGCCTTTATAGCTGCCCCAACAATGCACATCGTGTACAAGTGTTTCATGCGTGCGGCTCGAGTTTCATTCAAACATTTTGAATAAGGCGCAACAATGCCCCATGCAACATCAAATCAGGCAGGGGGAAGTCCGCGCACGTGCCTAATATATGACAGACGTAAGAAGAAACTCCAAGCGGTTGCTTTTTGTTTGAATTTCTGAATAGGGTTTTGCGGTTTCCTGGGCCCTGGTGGTTTTCTTACCTCGCTCTTTTCGCGTGCCCGCTGCAGAATTCGCTCCTCGATGGTGCCTTTGCAGATGAGCCGATAGACTGTCACCTGTTTGGTCTGGCCCAGGCGATGGGCTCGGTCCATGGCCTGCTGGTCAACGGTGGGATTCCAATCTGAATCGTAGAAGATCACCTGCAAGGCACAGAAGTACAATAGGTATAATAATAATAATAATAACAATAAAAGTTATATTTATAATGCAAGAGTAGTTTATACACCCATGGCCTTAGCTTAAATAACATAAATAATATATAATAATAATAATACTGTATCTTGTCGATCAATAGATATCAATGCTATATAATGCATATGCAAATGAGTAATCCACACGAACATCCTTTCGCTATCCTTTTGATATCCCACAGTTGTCTGCGTTGCATAATAATGTCGTCCAAAGTCTATTCAATACTCTACGAATTCTAATCCTTTCCTGTTTTCGGCTATCTTCTATGAGTAAGAGACTTACATGGGACGTGTGTTGAGTGCAAGTGTTCAGCAGCTAGACAAAGGGGTTGCTTTTCAGATCGAACATCCGGTAGTGAAGGAACTAATTGAATATATTGAACTGAATTTACATCACGTGCAGTGTGCTCTAAAATTTCAGATATAGACTTCTCCCATGTTTAAATTTCATTTCCGCTTTATATTGTGTCTGGCCATCCGATTAGCTGTCACTTGAATCTGTTTGTTTAGGAGCTGCAGCAAATTCATTAATTAAACCAAGCTACTTCACAAATGTCCTGATTTGCTGAGCTGATAGAGCTCCACGGGATAATTAGCTGGGCAGGGTTAAGTCAACGATTGGAAATTATTTAAAACGGTTTGTACGATTTATTTAACGTAGATAACAGCTTAATTAGGTAGCCGATAAGAATTGCCGTTGAACAGGTATAAATGGTGCTAACATTAAGCATTCAACTCGGTAGAAAGTCTATAACGATGACACGCTTCGGAGTCGGAGCAGTTCTAGTTTTACTGGCATTAGGCCTTAGCCAGGCTAATGGAAACATATTTGAAAGGACGTTCAAGAAACTTCACAGGGAGCCTTTTGATCCGATAAACCAAAATAGAGACGACACTGTGCAAACATTGTGGATCGAACAGAAGCTCGATCACTTTGATGAGTCCGAGACTCGAACGTGGCAAATGGTATGAGTCAGGTATTATGTAATTCTCAACTGAGTAGAATCAATCATATTATCTCTCATTCAGCGATATATGTTAAACGATGTGTTTTTCAAAACCGGTGGTCCCATGTTCATATGCGTTGGTGGAGAATGGACAATTAACAAGGGCCCTATTACAGAAGGTCACATGTACGACATGGCCAAGGAGCACAATGGAATTCTGTTTTATACAGAACATCGGTACTACGGCGAAAGCCATCCATTGCCGTGAGTGTTAATCAAGTAGAGACTCTGTACACTTGTATGCGAATCTGAATGTCTTCTAGAGATTTGTCCAACGAGAGCCTTCAGTTTCTGCATGTGAAACAAGCCTTGGCTGATTTGGCGCATTTTATAAAAACGCAGAAGGCTTCGTATGAGGGCTTGAGTGATTCCAAAGTCATAATTGTGGGTGGCTCCTACTCTGCTGCGATGGTTACTTGGTTCAAGAGAACATATCCCGATCTGATTGCAGGCGGCTGGGCCTCCAGTGCCCCTCTCTTTGCCAAAGTCGACTTTGTTGGTAAGTGCGAAACTGTTTAGTCTCTTAAAAAGCATACAAAGATTTTTTTTAACTTGGTCAGAGTACAAAGAGAT